ACCTTCACTCACTCAGTCCACAGGACAAGCCTCAATTCAACCAAGTTTCAGGACCAACAACGAGGTCCGAACCAATCTCAATAAAACTACCTAAGTGGAGTCTAATCTGTGGCTGCACCTAGTAACTTCAGGCTGCCTACGTACCCTACTAAGGGATCAAGCCACACGTAGTTCTTTCGTATCAATCCTGGCTCCTAATATAAAATAAACCATTACAGCCATACAAATTCATACATTCTAGGATTTATCCATCACAACACACTAAACACAATCATATCTCCCCTCATAATTCGGGACGCACCCGGCTATTTATGGGGTCTGTCAACACGCTGGCTAATCCAAAGAATCGTGCGACCTCAACACTAGGCCTGACTACATTTTCACCAGCCCGCACACAATCATACCCTCATACGTCGGGACGCACCCGGCCACGTATGGGGTCTGTCCACACGCCGGCTAATCCAAAGACGTGTGCGACCTCAACACTGGGCCTGACTACATTCTCACTAGCCCGCACACAATCATATCTCCCCTCATACGTTGGGATGCACCCGGCCACGTATGGGGTCTGTCAACACGCCGGCTAATCCAAAGACGCGTGCGACCTCAACACTGGGCCTGGCTACATTCTCACCAGCCATCGTACTGTTCGCTATGGGCCTGGCATTTAAAGGCCTCAACATAATCACAATATGGGGGGGTACGTGGGGTAGTGCGTATAGCACTGTAAACTAATATTCGATCCCTTTATATACCTTTATACATCCACACAATTAAATATATAATATATAATTTCTAATCTTATATAAACCTCAACCAATAAAGCATTCCATAAACTCCCCCATTTAAATTCATCAATTTATAACCTAAACCCACAATATCCATTTAACTCAACAACGCTCAAGACCTGTCACGAAGGTCATTCTAACCCTCAAAGAAAGGTAAGATTATCTCGGAAGTCTCATGGTCATCCTAGGGCCAAACGGGCTCGCGGGGCCCACAACCTCCAAATTCCGATCCGAAAGTTCCTATAGGTTCTACAGGCTCTAGGACACATGTTCTGCAAGTTTGGTCCAGATCGGACGGTCGGATCGCTCACAATCACACGATCTGACGGTCACTAAAATCCTAATCCTAGGGTTGGCATTTTCGGAGTATCCGGGACTCCGTTTTACGATCCGTCGAATCCTACACGATCCTAGTAATACATAGATCAACATATTATAACTTCAGGACCATCCAACGGTCCAAAACTACCGAAAAATACGCGACATGCGATATCCGTTCGGGACAACGAGAGGATAGCATTGGGACAAAAATGCCCTTCAGCCACAGTGCCCACGCGCCGCCACACGCGTCGGCAGCGCGTGGGTGTCCAAAGCGATATTACATCGCCGGAAAACTTCCAAATCAAGAGCCAAGACTCCTACCCTAGGTAATACACCTAATTTGGGGTCACTTTTGTTCTTGGGTATACCCCAAAAACTGACTGAAAGTGGCCGGAATCTTCCCTCGAAATCCGGCCGAAACCCAATTCGTAAATCGAGTTGCCTACGCTACAAATTGATCAATTCCTACCCAACAAGCAGTTAGAGCTCGGAAAATAGGTGAGAAACCATATCTCACTTGCCGGAATCGGTGGCCGGACGACGGAGAACGAAGCCGGCGAAGTTTCTGTCAAAACCGGAGCTTTTCTCCTCGTTTTCTGGCGAAATCACGGTGGCTGGCGGCGGGACCTGGTTGGGGTAGGAAGAGGACGGTGGCCCGGTCATTTTGGTACCGGCCCCGTCGACTTTGGTGGCCGGAAGAGAGCACGGCCGGCCAAAACGTGGCCGGCTGTTTCAGCCGTCCCGAACCAGAGGAGAGAGAGGGAGAGAGACGAGGGCAGTTCCGTCTTTTTATCAAAAATCCATTTTTCAAATATTTACGATCGTGCCACTGAGTTTCATTCGATCGTAACTCTCTCGTTACAACTCCGATTCAAGCCCACTATGTGTCTACAAACTCATCTCGCAACGGTACATCCGGAATTCCCAAATTCCTTCCAGATAAGAAAATGACTATAATACCCCTATCCCACGAGTAAATTCTTAATTTCGCTCAAATTAATTAAAACATGGGATAAATTTGGAGTCAGGTTACTACATTAGGTTTTAGGATTTGTGCAATTTTGCGCGACGAAAAGAGGACATCGTCGCACGAGGGTCTCTATTATTTTCGTGGCGCGACGCAATAACTGCTTCGTCGTCGTGCAATGCTGTCATTCCGCCAAAATTTGGGGTTTAGGGTTTATGGGGGGAGACAGAGAAGGTAAAAGGTCTGTCGTTGCGCAGGCCTGTGATTCGGGGGAGAGAAAGTTTTGGTCTGAATGAGATTGCGCGATGAAGCAACTAATAATTTCGTCGCACAATTTGTGTTTTGTACACTTTGCGTGATGAAAAAGTACGTTCGTCGCACAAGCCTGCGATTCGCCAAAAATTTATACTAAGTGTTTGGGTGGGAGAAAGTTTTGGTCTGAATGAGATTGCACGACGAAGCATCTAATAATTTCGTTGCGCAATCTGTGTTCTGTACATTTTGCGAGACGAAAAAAGTATTTTCGTCGCGCAAGCCTGTGATTCGCCAACAATTTAGACTGAGTGTTCGGGGGAGAGAGTTTTGGTCTAAATGAGATTGCGCAACGAAGAATCTAAAATGTTGTCGCGCAAGCATGTGTTCCGTACACTTCGCGCGACCGAGGATCTTTATTCGTTGTGCAAACCCTAAACCCTAAACCCTAAACCCTAAACCCTAAACCCTAAAACCTAAAACCTAATCCCTAAACCCTAAACTAGTTTCAATGATCCAATCGGCAAACTTATTTTTTTATACTTCGAGATCGTATACGCCGAAAATCGGAAAAAATAAACATTCAGAGATCAAGTAAAGGGACAAAACTTTTCAACGGTTATAAATGAAAAGTCACGATTTAACGGTTATTTTAACTCCGATTTTGATGATTTTTTACAGCTACATTTCTTGACCCTATATGAATACAATGACTGAATTTGATCTTCAATTTAAGATATTTACACTAGAGTATACCACATAATCTTATGTTATATTTAACGAAACTATACATAAATTCTTGATTGTTGATGAATATACTGTTTTGATGGCATACGCATTCTACGAAACTAGTTTCAGTAATCCAGCCGTCAAACTTGTTTGTTTATACTTCAAGATCATAGACCCAAAAAATCGGAAAAAAAAAAAAAACATTTAGAGATGAGGTGACAGGACAACTTTTCGACAGTTATAAATGAAAAGTCATGATTTAACGGTTATTTGAACTCGATTTTGATGATTTTTTATAGCTACACTCTTTTACCCTATAAAATATTCAGCATCACCCCTACAGAAAGACATCAATAATTATTAGTTGGTCACATGGTTGCGTTTGGTGGGGTTTGGTGGGGTGTCACCTTCCTTGCATATCATTATATATAATCTATAACCTCATGGAACTTACCATCTACTTTGAATCCAAGGAATTAAAATTATAAAAATAAAAAAATAAAAAAAAAGGTACCATTTGCTTGTCCGATTGCGTTGATTTGCTTTGTCATTGTCTCATATATTCTAATGTTGGTGGTCTGACCATACTTTGTTTCTTTCTGGCACCAGAAAACGATGGAGAAGAAGGGACATGACTCATGAGGGAGACTCTCAGACTAGGTAGCTATTCTAGAAGTCTTTGCATTCTTCAGAGCAAGCAACGTCCGCATTTCATCAAGATATGTCGCAACAAGTTGATCAGGCTTTCAAATGTATAAAATCAGACAATTGAAGTCCCGCCATATATTTTATGTTCGTTTATTACCTGGACATGACTTTCAAGCATACCTGTCTTAAAGAAACTGTAAGATATCAATGGTCCTAGTGCCACCACATGTCAGAAGACTAAAGAGTAAAGCTGTTGAGATATTGTTAATCTTGTTAGGCAGTTTAGAGAAATTGTTAGTATTGATAAGAGAAGGTGAGAGAAGTTAGAGAGGTTAGAAAACGCGAACAAGGCTTTAACTAAGCTGATATAAATACTGTAATTGTGCTCAGTTGAGCTCAATGAGAAATATAACAATTCTTTTTTCTATCTCTGAAATTCTCTCTGCGTTATTTTTTGTATTCTCTGCTATTGTGGTATCAGTCTTCCTGTCTTAATAGAAACTAAATAAATGATTCTAAAGTAATTTGACCATCATTATTCCATGACATCATTCGTGACTTAACATGGCTTAGAGTAATAGTTTTTGCTTTCAAGATAATATATGTTATGTTGTTAAGATTCTAAATCTTAACCGAGAAAAATGGGGTATTTATCTTCACTCGGTTACGAATTCAAATCTAATCCACAAAACACTCCGACAAATCATGATTAACAACTTAGTACCGGCCATATGTCTATATCATTCCAAACATTATTTATTTGCAAATACTAGACACGTGCACTTTCTTAATAACTAAAAACATTTGAAGTTAAGTTAGCATATCGATATACGATGGAATCCACATGCTGTGCGTGCGTGTATTAATTTAATTGTAAAAAATTTCTAAGATCAGGCACATGACTCATACCTAGGAAGTATTTTGACCACGTGAAAAGTACGTACCTGCATGCCCTCTACTCTAAGTGGCTATAAAATAGCTACGCTTTCTTTCTTATAGAACAACTCAGTAGCTTCTACTTTGTACTTACTGATCGATCATCTTCTCATTTTCTTAGTTAAAACTCTCAGTCTTTTATCACACAACTAGTCTGAAATTTCAAGCAATGTCTCCAGTTGGTGCTGCTCAAACCGTGGAGGCATCGAAAGTAACAAGCATCAAACCACTTGCTGAATCACCAGCCCTCAACTCTGTTCCTACTGCATATGCCTTCAACATAAACCCCAATGAAGAAGCAGATCCTAATGATCCCGAATTCGCAATTCCCATCATTGATATGTCTCTTCTCACTTCGGGATCTCCAGATCAACGGTCAAAAATCATCCATGACCTAATTAAAATTTGTCAAGAATGGGGGTCTTCATAGTAAGTTGATATGCATATATAAATAACAGTTATAGTAACAGTGTAATAATTAAATAAAAATTTATTAACCGTGGTGATGCATTGCAGACCATTAACCATGGAGTGCCAGAGAGCCTGATGAAGGCGATGATTGATGCATGCCATGGATTTTTCAATCTGCCGGACGAGGAGAAGCAGGATTTTAAATCGGGGGACGATGTGCTAGGGACGTTCAAGTATGGGACCAGCTATAATCTGGCATTGGACAAATTCCTTCTGTGGAGGGACTTGTTCAAGGTGAGAGTACATCCTGAGTTCTACTCCCTCTACAAACCGGGTTGCTTTAGTGAGGTGTCAATGGAGTTCAGCAAGGGAAGCCGAGAAGTTGCATTAGAGATAACAAGAGCAATTTCAGAAAGCCTGGGATTGGAGCCAAACTACATATACGACGCAATGAACATGGATCGTGGCATACAAATAATCGCTGCAAACTACTACCCACCATGCCCTCAGCCGGAACATGCAATTGGTATACCACATCACACTGATCATGGCCTTGTCACTCTCCTCATCCAGAATAAGATGAATGGCCTCCAAGTTGAGCACAATGGAAAATGGCTTACCGTCGATGGCCCTGCCAACGGTCTCTTCTTTAACCTTGCTGATCAGATGCAGGTAATTTAATTAATTTCTGATAACAATATGATGTGCTGACACGTGTACTTGCTGAGGTGGCAAGTCTGTTAGCTCTTCACGTGTTTGTTAATCTGATTAGTTACTCTTGTTACTCTAATTAGTTATTCTGTTAAGCTCAGATTAGTGAAGGAGTCATTGTTACACAGCTATATAAGCTTGTGATTAGTTCATTTCATTATCATGTAAGAAAACACTTCTGAGAAATATACAGAGCTTTACCTTTCATTCATTTCTCTCTCTAAACCTAGATCT